GCACTACTAAAGGACCATGTTACCCTGACCCGACGAAAGTTGTGCCGCACGAAGAATACGGAGTTAAATCTACTCTTAATCCTAAGCCAACAGGGATGGCCAAGAGGCGTGGGGAAGATCCTTTTTTGCTGCTACATACAAAACTACGTGGGTACCTCTTTATAACAATTTCTTGTTAACTGTCTGGAAAAGCTCGCAAGTGCCACAGCAAACTTCACCGAATAATATGGTGAAAGCAGAACACCGACGAAGGCAAAGGAGAATATAAGGACAGTTAAGGCTTATTAGTCATAATCAGTCATACAATAACTTCAGGCCTGGATAACCCGCGTTTCCCGTCCGGCCTCTTTGGTTGATGATCATTAGGCCAAACGCTCGACCATTGAACCTGTCCTGTTCTTTGTGATGATATCCACAAATTATTATGTTAGTGCCGCTGATGGAGAGGAGTAACCCATAAATTACCGCCCCTGTATTCCTTTTCTTGCCGGGCATTCCGTTCTCATAATTGTTTATCACACTGAGACCGCTTACCAGAGATAGGTCAGAAAGTAGATCACTTAAAGCAATCATTCTTATTATCCATAGCAAAGTTTCATAAAAAAAGTTGTCGACTGTCGTTTCTTTTCTTGCGCTAGATGTTGGAGACTTCAGTATACTTATCTCATCCCTCTCAGCTTGATGCTAACAGTGAATCTGTCTTCTGTTCCCTAAGTCTACTCCGGCCAAATTACCAATAAATTTCACTGCCGGCCTAAAACGTCCGACCGTTCAATGTAAGTCAGTAAGTATGAAATGAGCGGCGGTTCCGACGGACTACGTCCGTACATGTGAACGTCAGCTCGGTGGCGAGAGAAACGTCTATATCGATTGATTTAGTTTCACATCTGTGATCACAACTTTCTGGCGAATGAAAAGGGCCTTTTGTGTCATGCAGTCCAGAAAGGTTAATGTTACAGTGCCATTGGTTAGCAGAATTCAGCATACACTGTTGAATGCACAGTTATTTTCATGCGCACAGAAAGCACTGAATCTCCTGAAATCTTAACCAGAAATAGTAAAGGGAAGACAGTGGAACAGGAACCTCTCTTTGGGAAGGGAAGATATAATTGAGCCGTAAACCTAACCCTAGCAAAATTCCAAACCGTACAATCAACTCTCACCCTAACCTTAGACCAGACCTTAAAGACAGTCGTAACTCTAACCTTGACATTAACCCTAATCCCTGTGGAAAGTATCACAGGGTCCCTGCAATAGGGTGTCGCTATTCGCGTGACGCTACAATACTGCTACATGGGAAAAAATCTTGAAAGCTATTTCAGGCTTTCGGTGGAAAATGTTTATGACCAACTGTGTACACCTTCCTTGTAGTTTTTGATGCTTGTATGAATTAAATTCTTCTCCTAGAAAGGAAACCCATTTTTTGTATTTGTTATACTATTTTTGTGGGGAATCGCGTCCTCTTGATGGTTATATGCGATGCGATAACTAGTTAAGTGACCACAACTTCATCACTCGTATGCGTTCTTCGGCCATCCAGTTCGCTTATATATGTACTGGGAAAGCACTCACTTTTGTACACCCACTTCAAGTCTGCATAGAATATGGAGATGGTTGCCATTGCATTTGCTAATCGACTGGAATCCAGAAATCCCTGACCAAGCAGTTCGCGGTTCACGCAGTTTCCATCCACCTTCCCAGCGAAGAAGTCGGAATCCTCGAAACTAAATGTATGACCAGGTCCCGTCTAATGAACCGCGACCTGGGAGCTGTCCTCG